GTTTGTGGTTCCCTAAGCCAAATCATTTTATTTTTTGTTGTCATTTTTATCCAAAAACCACACTCCCTGTTAACAAAAACTGCTATGCTTGTCTCAAAGTTCTGGCATGGTTTTTGGTACCAATATTGCTCCTAATATGATAACCCTTGATATGATTTGCATATTAGCTGAAGGGAAACATCTGCAATCTAGTATAAGGAACTTGGAAATCATGCATAGGAATGAATAATTCTACTGATAATTAGTCAGTTCATAATATATTACAAATTAGTACAAACCAAAATTAAATGACACTCAAAAAAATAAAAAAATAAATAAAATAAATAAAGCAATTTTATTTACTTTATCCGCTTTTTATATTATGTGAACCTCAAGAATCGTTGGTTTTACAGGTGACACATATTGGTATCTGCCAATAACAGTGGGTTCTTCATACACCACATATGAGCATGGTGATCAAGCCTCAGAACACAAATCTGTAAAATTTGAAGGATGATTGCATCTTCATGTTCATAATGTAAGGTCATAAAGCTTGAAACATAAAAGGGTTCCACTAAATGTTTGAAAGCATGCTGACTCAAGTGTTCAGTTAACTCAATTCAGTTTGACTTGAACAATGAGCAGAGTGGATAGGTGAAATTATAGAATTTATGAAAAACAAATAATTCCATAGCTTTAACTCCAACCTAGTTGAACAAATTAAGATCTAGAAATTTTGAAGCGAAGTAGGAAAAATAGGACCCAAAATTTTTTTTTCCTCTTAAAATGAGTACATTTATAAGATGAGTAAAAGACAATTTTTAACAGAAGTATGTCCCGATAAAGCATCATGAAGATTCCTTATAAAGTAGTCATGGTAATCTAATGGCAATGACATGAAAGTACCTCCCATCAAGATGAATTCAACCTACAAAATGAACAGTCATTTACAACTAGTGAACAAGGATTTTTAAATATATATCATCTCATTTTGTACAATTGAAGTAAACATTGAAAAACGTGGAAGATGACAAACCTTATCAACACTGTGGCCCAACCTTTTGAGTTGATTTATCCTGCTTCTAGCTTGAACATACGGGTTATATCTAAAACCAATATTACACAGAGTGATTAACTCATGAATTAACTACAAGGTATAGACACTCGTAAACATTTTCGCATAATGATAAACGAACTCTAGTAGATCCAAATTAATGAAAAATGGGGATAAGGTGGAAAATGAATAGGTTATTAGCATTTTCTCATAACGTTGATTATAACAGATTCACATTATAACAAAATGGGTGGCATTATTGGAGTAGGCACTTCTGTTTCTCCCTGATATATCAACAAATAGCAGCCACAATACTGAAACCTCCCCTGTTGAATCCCTCACAGGGCATTTATATAAGGCTCCAAAAGCATACATTCAAACTCCTTGTCATTGTCAAGAGTCCAAGACCGATTCATTATCACGACTCACGAGTACAATTTGAAAACTTCAAATTTAGGCTAGACAAATTAAGGCCACTGCAAATCTTCACTCTCATCCATAATAAAAAGCTACAGTGCTCAAATCTACAAAATACTTGCACTTAAGTGCAAAGAAAATGCAAATGTTTTTTTTTTATTTTTACACCCCCCCCCTAAAAAAAATTGCATTTTCATGCAAGTATTACTAAATCCTAATCATCAATTAAAAAGGAAGGTTTTAGTCCAATCTAATGAAAACTGAATGAAAAACTGCGTAGAATTAGAAAAGTATCATGCATAAAATATATCCACAGAAGGAACGGGAGTACTGAAAACCAGCATCAATACCTTAACAAAGGGGACGTGATGACTAAATCACTCCCCTTAAAAAGCCGACTTGATTGGACATGTTTACACAAATTATCAACCTGTTACAGTAGTGCAAAATTTTCTACAACATTAGCCTCAAAATTTTGCTAAGGACTATATATGTAAGCAGTAAGATACTTATTATAAGTTCATCTTTATCCAAATGAGTTTGTGTAATAACATAACATTGATTGTTTTCCCACTTGCTACCAGCCAAGTGGAGTAAGCTGTGCATCAAAATATTCAGGAGACACGTACGCTTTATAGTTCTTATCTACTTCTACATTATGAATTCCTTGTGCATGCCTCACCTGGATGTATGGTTTTATAAGACAACAATGACTTGGAAAGCATGAACAATGACTTGTCTAGCCTAAGTTCCTTGTCTTTGCAGCATTAAAATAAAATTCATAACTAAGCATGTACATTCAACACTTAAATACACAGTTTTAGCTTCCAAATAAAATTCGGGTCTTTGAATGTTAAATTTAACAAATATCAATTTTGCAACTTTCGAATAACAAATTCAGCTTCTAATTGATGATTCCTGCAACTCATAAAATTGCTTCAGCACATAAATCTAATTTCCAATAACCATACGCATTGTGTTAACTTCTAAATAAGACAATAAATACAATTTTAGCAGTTATATGATCAGGACTCGAGAGAAAACGAGTAGGACTATGACCAAATAGAAGGTATATAACAATTCTAAGTCAGAGAGAAAAATGCATGAGGCAAACAAGCGAACAATAGATGAAAAAAAAATTAAAGACAAAGATTGCAGTCCCAAAGAGGTGGTCGCGATCAACGCTGTGAGAAAGGGAGATGAAAGGGAAGCACCGTTTGAGGGAATGCCGTCGGTGGCGCTCAGTCAGCTGTACGAGAGAGCGAGAGGAAGAGAGAAGAAGAAGAAAAAGTGGCAAGCTTTGTGCTGTGCTGTGCTGTGCCATGCCGAACAAGAGAATGAAATTGAAGACAAAGAAGAAAAAGAGGAGGAGGCGGAGGCGGTGTGAGAGAGTGAGAGGGAGAGGGAGAGGGAGAGAGAGAAGAAGAAGAAGAAGAAGAAGAAGAAGAAGAAGAAGAAGAAGAAGAAGAAGAAGAGAAGACATGCCTCTGTGTCTCTGCGTGTTCTGCCGTGCCACTTGAGGTTGTGAAGGGAGAGAAAGAGATGAACAATTTAGGTCAATTCTTTGTGTACTCACCTAAAAGGATCAGTCTACGGTTATAATAAAAATTAAAAAAAAAAGGACAGATTCAAAACGATGTGGTTTTGACCTGTTAATTTATTGGCGACAAAATTCATTAGGTTGCCATAAATATTATTCACCTTTCCGCGATTAATTTATTTCTGTCGCCAAAAAGTTCCAATCGGCGACCAAAATTTTCGTCGCCATATATTAATTTGGTCGCGAAAACATTTTTAGCGCTCCTGCGTAGAAATTAATGTTGGCGCCAAACGTTTTGGCGACCAATAATCTTAACTTGTCGCCAATAGTTTATTTTTTGGCGACCAACTAGTATATTGTCACCGATTATATACAATTGGTGACTAATTTCAATTTAGTTGCTAAAAAACGTCGCCAAAAATGCTTTTTGTTGTAGTGATTATGTATGCAGGAATGGCCGCATTAACCAACTTGATGAGCGCAGCTCAACTCGCAAAGGATAACATTTTGCTTTTCCATCCAGCGAGCTTACTTTGAACCTTGTCAATAACAAATTGGAAGGACTCTCTATCAGGCCGGGAGTGGTGGATCGGACAACCCAAATACTTACCAAGGTTACGAGTAGTAGGAATACCAAGTGTATGAGAAAGGTGATGTTGCAAGTCTTCATGTACATTGGCCGAAAACAAAACTTTGGACTTGTTAAAACTGATGTTTTGGCCAGATAAGGGACAAAAGTCTTGCAAAATGGAAGAGATGATAAGACAATTGGGTTCGGAAGCTTCTCCAAGTAAGATGAGATCATCAGCAAAAAATAGATGTGATAAAAGGGGACCCGCCCTAGACACATAGATAGGAGACCACTTACGATTTTGGCAGGCTTCGGTGATACGAGCTGAGAGATATTCCAGGCAAAGGATAAAAAGCTATGGAGAGATGGGATCACCTTGTCGTATGCCTCGAGATGGAAAAATTTCTTCGGTTTTTTCACCATTAAACAGCACTGAAAGCGAACTCGAGGAAACACAGGACATAACAAGTTCTATCCAACTCGAAGGAAAATTGAAGGATCGCATGATGGTACGGATAAAACTCCACTCTAAACGGTCATAAGCTTTGTCCAAATCAAGTTTAATCAACATGCTGCCTTTCCTGCCGTTTTTCTCCTTAAAGCTATGAACAATTTCTTGCACGATGATAACATTATCGGTACCTCTTCTAGCTGGGATGAAACTTGATTGAAGAGGACTAACAAGAGACTCTAACATAGGTTGAATACGAGCTACAAGGAGCTTAGTGATGAGTTTGTAAATGATGTCACAAAGCCTTATGGGACGGAATTGGGCTATGGATTCTGGACTAGGGACTTTAGGGATGAGGCAGATTAAGGTTTTATTGATCTCCGGATTGATATGGCCAGTCACAAACGCACAGGAGATTACTTCACAGATCGATGGGCAAGTAGATGCCAAAACTTTTGAAGAAAGATGGGGTGGAGCCCATCAGGCCAAGGGGCCTTTCAGGGTTTGAACGTCCACAAAACTCGCCTAATCTCTTCCAATGAAAAGGGGCTAAGAGGAAGGGATGAAGAGAGGAATCAATGGTGGGTAAGAAAGAGTAGGTGGGTTCGTTACGAAGGGACACACTAAGTGAACAGGTAAACAACCTTCTAAAGTGATCCACAACATTGGATTTGATGGTATCAATTTCATAAACCCAGGTATTGTCCGAATTTTTAAGAGCGAAAATTTTATTATGTTTACGATGAGAAATGGTCATTTGGTGGAAAAAATGAGTGTTTCTATCCCCATCTAAAATACGGTTCACTAGGCTTTTAAGACTCCAGAACTCTTCCTCCAGACTAAGAACATGGTTATAGTCAGCAATAAGGGACTGTTCTAGTTGTAGAAGATAAGGCGATGGTCCATAATCAAGGGATTTTTGAACACCAAGGATCCTATTGGCAAGTTTCTTTTTACGGAAGAAAATGTTACCAAATACAGTTTTGTTCTAAACAGAAACTTTGTCTACAAAAACCTTAGCCCCTTGAGTGAAGTTGGCATTGGACCAACTGTCAAACACAACGGTAGAAAGAGACGGATCCGACAACCAGATAATTTCAAAACGAAAGGGACGAGCAGTCCTAGAGGGAAGGATAGAGTGGGTATGCAAAAGGATGGGGCAATGATCCGAGTGGAGTTTGGGCAAGTGTAAAACTTTATTATCTGGGAAGAGTTGGGCCCAAGCTCCATTACAAAAACATCGATCCAGTCTTTCACCGATAAAGCTGCCGACTTGTCTTTGGTTATTCCAAGTGAAGCGTGGGCCAGAAAAACCCATGTCAATCAGCCCACAATGGTCGAGACAGTCCTTAAATAACATGGCTCTACGATGATTAATGGGTTGTCCTCCAAATTTCTCTGTACTAGTCAAAATCTCATTGAAATCTCTCATTAAAAGCCAAGGCAAATTATGAGCATCAGCAAAATTTTTAAGATTATCCCAAAGAATTTTTCTAGTATTGAAACAGGGGCTAGCATAAATAGCTGAAAGCAACCATGCAGTAGGTGAGGAGAGTACCTGGATACATGCGTGGATTTCCTGCTGCATGACCGAAATGGCATCACAATGGATCTCTTCACCATTCCACAACAACCAAATACCCCCAGCAAAACCAATTGGTTCTAAGATATGAAAATTTGGAAGACCCAAACTCTTACAAATAGTCATGCCCCTATCCCCACCAATGTGAGTTTTTGTAATAACAACTAACTGTGGGTGGTGTTCTTCTAGTAAATTTCAAAAATGCCTGCGGAAATGGAGGTTGGCCGCCCCACGGCAGTTCCATAAAAGCACCTTCATTGGAGCTTTAAACAGTGGTAGTGGAAGGAGTTCAAACTCCTCCTTGTTTAGCACTTCCTCCTTCGGAGAGATCCATTCGGGCCCCAGAGCTAAGGCTTCGTCTGAGTGAAGGTATGGATACAGTTGGATCATGTGTTCGAAAGCTCTGTTTCCTTGCATTGTGCAAAAATCTGCGGCAACGCGTAGTCGATGGAGCTTCGGAGATTGTTCGACCACTATTGCTTGATTGAGGTGACCCCTGAGGGTGAACTCCCAGGGTATTAAATCCATTTGCATGAACTCCCGTGTTGGTAGGAGTGGGGCAGGGAGAAAAGTTTCCTCGATCAATGGTTCGAGCATCTATTGATAATTTGGAAGCAGCTTTGAGGAGGGAATGATCACTTGGTTTAACTGTATGATCTGGTGGGGAGAGTCCGTCGCATGGGTGAACGGAGTGGACAGGTAGTTGACAACCACCGTTGAGCGGTGAGGCAGTGGGGATGGTAAAGGTAGGAACAGAGATAGGTTCATCCACATGTTCATGATCTCGCTGTTGTACCAGCCCAAGATGTGAGTCGGGTCTCATTAAATCATCTCGATCAGTCCGTCTCCCATCCTAGAGTGACCATTCGAGGTCTTCTAGAACCAACCTTGCTGGTTCTACCCTACCACACTGTTCAGACGAAAATGGAGAGCTGGTTCTGGGAGAGTTGGGTCTGCCACTGGTCTGTGTGGATGGCTGGAGGTGTTGCGAGAGTTGGTGTGGGGAAATCGGGGATTTTGGCGTGGCATGGTTTGGTAGAGAATAGGGGGAGAATGGGGTTCTGAAGCTTGGTTTTTTCTGAGGAGGTTGAGGGGTTGACGAAGTTGTAGAAACAGTGGCTAGAGAAGGTGGGTTAGTGGTAACACAAAATAGCGTAGACAGTGTAGAAGAATCCCCAGGGTCAGAGAAATTATTAGCAGACTGGGGAATATCGGGAGATGGGTTCAACAAAGGACAGGGGCCTAAATCAGGCTTAGAAACACTAGAAGGATGTAACGAGGTGGCATGGCTATCACTAAGGCAAGCAAAAGGGTTGCTCAGGGACACCCCAGGTACTATGGGGTCACTATCAACAATTAAGGTGGCAGAGGAGGGGGTCAACGAAGTGAGAGGTTGTGGCTGACCATTAGGCGCCAAAATTTGAATTTCAGTCTTCTTCACCCAGACCTTCCGTGGTTGAACATTGGAGCGGCTTGCCGGGTCCGGCTTCTTAGAGCTCTTGGGGCGTTTCTGAACTAACATCCAAGGGCCAAAAGGCTCGCCATCTGCTGGAGGATTATTTGCTTGGTTCTCCACTGTAGTATTCTTATTGGCAATATTCAAGCACTCCTCCACTCTGTGACCAATCAGACCACAATGGAAGCAAACATAGCTCAGACCTTCATAGGCTACATTGACTAAACTAGACCCCACTGTGATCTTAGCTATTAAGGGCTTGGCTAGATCAATTTGGATGCACAAACGCGCAAAACGACCCTGATCTCCATTAACTGTATGGATGTCCATTTTATGGAGCTTACCCACAGTATTCCCAATTTTTCGAAGAATAGAATGATCATAGTATTCAATTGGAAGACTGTGAAGTCTAGCCCAAACTATGGTGGTAGATAGACTGGCCTTGGTTGGTAGATATCTATTAATTTTTAAGATATTAATTTTTAAGATGGGAAATTCTCATACCCGTCTACATATATGTAATAGATATTAGGATAAATTACACATAATATCCTTGTATTTTCACAAAAGTTTTACTTTGCTCCATTCAATTTCAATTGTAGCATTCCCGGTATTTTAAATCAAGTTCCAATCTCACCATGCTGCCATTTACTGTTAATAAAGCTATCAAAAGTTGAAAGTTGAGATATTAAAGTTAGATTTTGGTAAAAAAAAAATGTAAGGACTAAAGTGAGATTTTAATAAAGTGTAAAGGTACTAATGGGGTGCCTCTATTTATACACCACCTTTCATCTCAAGGCACACCTTTAGTAATTTGATAAATACAAAATTTACTCAATACACACCATAATCTTCCATCTTTATCCTTACTCACACACCCCACCCACATCTTCCATCTTCACCATTAGTCACTCACACACCCCACCCATGATGTAGGAACCCACACTTTATGTCCTCATCATGTTCATGAGCATCGGTATGATTATGACTTGTTTAGCTTGCATGTGTATGTTGTGATTTGTTTCGCTTGAGCTAATGCGATCCATGTCTTGATTTGAAGCCTTGTGATTTGTCTAAGTGTAGTATGCTTAGGGGCGGTTTGGGGGCGCGACACATGATCTTTCATCTTTCTCTTCATTCTTTGCTTCATCAAAGACGCTGGTGGAAACAACTCCACATTGGAGATACAGTAGGTGAGAATTCTCATTTTGCTTAGATTTGAGGGTTTTATGTACGTTTTTCCGTTGTCATAAGTGTTGTATATGAACGTTTGATTTTGCGAACCGTTCGACACTGGTCTGTCGAACATTAACCTTTTCTCCGGAGTGTTTCTGTCGAACAACTTCAATATGTTCGACATTTTAGTGTCGAACAAAATTCAATAGTTCGACATTGTACTTCCAAACGGACTTATCCTTCACTGTTTTCTGTTTCATTTTTAGAAATTGATGACCATTTTGCGTATTCCACCCACTACCCTCAAACCAATAAGAAATTTGCTTCTTTCTTCTATGAGCAAAGTAAGAACGTCGTTGTTGAAGAAATATTTTTGAGGTTAAACAACACTATGACAGAGAAGAAAGTATTGCATTTACTAAAAAAAAAAAAGGCACCAATCATGTCAATGTACAAATAATTCCATTCTTGTCAGCAGAGGCAAGAGGTTTTCCAATACCACTCCACGAACAAGATAGAACAAAAGCGGTGGTGAAATGGCGACGGCTGCAACAATGGTGGCTAGGGTTAGGGTTTGGATGTTGTATATTCAACTAAGGTTTGTATTGATATTTTTTTGTGGTCATTTTGGTCATTTTAGGCAAGGTCATTATTATAATAAAAAATAAACAATTAATGGTGTGTCTTGAGACAAAATGTGGTGTGTAAATAGAGGCACCCGTACTAATGAGACAACAAAAATGTCTCACATGCTTCAAACGACAAGTTTCATTATATTTGTCAATGATAGACAAGTGGAAGGTTCAGATTGTAACTTTACTTAAAGTGTAAATAGTTTACTGTTACAATTGAAAGTGAAGGGATTAAAGTGAGATTTTGATAAAAGAGTAGAAATACTAAGTGTAATTTACCCTAGATATTATTTGATAAGAGGTATTAACTTTCATTAGTAATTTCCTTACAACATATAGACCATAAATAGTACATATTTTTTCAAGAAAATTTGTTATTCTAAAAAAATATATATCTGCACATTTTATTTTTATGCTAAAAAAGTAATTTACTTTTAGTAATCATCGACTTCATGTTAAGCGATATTTTGCTTTAAACTTTAGTCAACCAACTTTGTGTGTGAAAAAGTTTCAAGCCCATTTATGCTCAAAAACTTTAGCCAACCAATTTATGCTCAAAAACTTTAGACAACTTCCATGTTATGCACATGTTTCACTACTTACATATGTTTATTCATACATTGGTTGTGAAAAAGGTTTCAAGCCTTCACAACAGAAGTTTTAAATAGCAATTTTGAAATACTTAGAAAAGCAATCTAAAAACATGGTAAAACTAACGTGATTAATCCGATTGATTAGAATTTATGCATCTTATTAGAAAGTTAATGGTTTGAATCTCTATATTTATGTGTGGGTTTTCTGTCCTGTATATATATATATATATCAAGACTTTTCTTTCTCACTTTGGGAGTTTTTTGTATATATTTTTTATGTTAGATTTGATTTTTATCATTATAGACATTATTGTAATATCATATACTAATAAATAAATAAATAAACAGTACTTTTACCCCCATTTCGATGATTCAAACCGTTCAGTTTATCAGATATTTCATGCATTTCATTCACACAAAAAATTAAGTAGATTCGATAACTGTAACTGGTTCAATTTATTGCGTCTATCATAAAAAAATGTATGATTTTTTTTTTTTGTCGTCTATATTTTTTTTTTTGTAAAAAATGCAGTAAATTGAAATAGTTACAGTTATCGGATCGACCTAATTTTTTTTGTAGATGAAATACACAAAGTACCCAACAAAATAAACAGTTTGAATCATTGAAACGGAAGTACCCTCTTGTTTAGTTTTTGGATTGGAGGAAATCCTCCTCCTAATCCTTATTTAGTGGATAAATTATTGTTCTAATAACGTCATGGATGACAAATTTTAACCCTTTTGAACATCATACTTTGAATTATCAATGGGAGGAAGCTTCTTTCAAATAAATAATAATTTTCTTTCAAATAAAAAATAGTAAGCGTGGGGTGTTTGATAACCAAATTTAGCATTTAAAATTGAATGTATTAAGTAATAATTAATTAAGTCTATTTGATAATCACAATTGATATAACTTAAAATTTTTAGTCTCTTAAAATATAGGCTAAAACTTAAGAAAATTTTTAAGTCATATGAAACTTACCTAATTCTGACTGAATTTATAAATACCAAATATAGTATTACCACAGCTACCACCACTACCATCATTGCTACTGTTACCATCACCATGCCTCTGCCACCACTACCGCCGCCACCACCACCACATTTATCACCATTATCATTGTTGTCATAAGTACCACCATCATTTTTCTATCACTATCATCATTACCACATCTACCACCACCCATCAACACTACTGCTACTACCACCGTGCCACCGCCGCCACTGTTGCCGCCACCACAATCATACGATCACAACTACCACCAC